ACAACCTGACCTTTCACTCAGGTTTAGTATTTTTACTGTTAATTTCTAGAGCAGTATTAGATTTACAGAGAAAATGAACAGAAAGTGCAGAGAATTCCCTTTTACCCCTTCTCCCTCTCACACACAGTTTTGTCTGCTGTTACCATCTTTGTATTAGTGTGGTATATTTGTTACAATTGGCGAATTAATACTGATACATTATAATTAACTAAAGTTCCTAGTTTACATTAGGAATCACCCTTTGTGTTGTACAGTTGTATGGATTTTGACAAATGTATAATGTCCTGTATCTACCATTATTATATCCAACACTGCCCTAAACGTCCTCTGTGCTCCACCTGTTCATCCTCCTCGCTACCCTAATCCTCTGGCAACCACTAATTTTTTTTTTCTTTCTTTTTGTTGTTTTGAGATAAGAATTGCCCAGGCTGGAGTGCACTGGCATGATCTCTGCTCACTGCAACCTCCACCTTCCAGGTTCAAGAGATTCTCATGCCTCAGCCTCCTAAATGGCTGGGATTGCAGGCATGCACTACTGTGCCCAGCTAATTTTTGTATTTTTTAGTAGAGATGGGGTTTTGCCATGTTGACCAGGGCTGGTCTTGAACTCCTGGCCTCAAGTGATCTGCCCACCTTCACCTCCCAAAGTGTAGGGATTACAGGTGTGAGCCACCATGCCTGGCCCACTGATTTTTTTTTTTTTAACTCTCCCTGTAATTTTACCTCTTCCAGAATATCGTATAACTGGAATCATAGAGTGCATAGTCTTTTCATTCTGGCTTTTTTCACTGAGCAATATGCACTTAGAGTTCTCCCATGTCTTTTTGAGTCTTGATAGCTCATTTCTTAATATCTCTCTATATTCCATCGTGTGGATGTTCCACAGTTTTGTCTATCCATAAACCCATCAAAGAACATCTTGGTTGCCTTCCAGTTCTGACAGTTTTCAGTAAAGCAGCTGTGAACATTCAGGCTTTTGTGTCGACTGAAGTTTTAGACTCATTTGGGTAAATACCTAGGAATGTGATTGCTGGCTTATATAAGACTGCTTCCTTTTGTAAGAAACCACCAAACTCTCCTCTAAAATGTCTATACCATTTTACATTTCCACCAGCACTGAATCAAAGTTCCTGTTGCTCCATATCTTGCCAGCATTTGGTACTGTCAGTGTTTTGGATTTAGACATTCTAGTAGATGTGTAGTAGTCTCATTGTTGTAATTTGTAGTTCTCTTACAACATGCGTTATTGAGCTTTTATGTGCTTTTTGAAGTGCTTGTTTTCTTGTTGGGTTTTAAGGATTCTTTGCATATTTTGGATAAGGTTCTTTATCACATGTGTGTTTTGCAAATATTTTCTCCCTACTCTGTGGCTGGCCTTTTCATTCTCTTAACAGTGTTTTTCACACAGCATAGTTTTGCTTTTAATAAAGTCCAATTTATTGACTTTTCCTTTCATGGATCATGCTTTTGATGTTATATGTAAAAGCTCATCACCAAACTCAAGGTTACCTAGATTTTCTCCCATGTTTTTTCCTAAAAGTTTTGTATTTTTGCATTTTACATTTCGGGCTATGATGCGTTTTGTGTTTGTTTTGGGGGAGACTGCATGGTCAATGTTGATTCATTTTTCTGCATGTGGATACACACAGCTGGCACTAGTTGTTCCAGCGCCACCTGTTGAAAGGACTGTTCCTTTCTCCACTGAATTGCCTTTGCTCAGTTGGCCATATTCATATGGGTCTATTTCTGGGTTTTCTATTCTTTTACATTGATCTGTTTTCTATTCCTTTGCCAATACCAACACTGTCTTGATTACTGTAGTTTTATAATAGATTTTAAAGTCAGGGAGTGACAGTCATCCAACTTTGTTCTTCCTCATTATTGTGTTGGCCATTCCTTGTCTTTTCCCTCTCTACTTTAAACTTTAGAAACAGTGTGTTGATATCTACAAAGTAACTTGTTGGAATTTTGACTGGGAATACATTGAACTTACAGATCAAATGAAGAAGTAATATAATAATATCAAATCTCTCTGTTCATAAACATGAACTATCTCTCCATTTATTTAGATCTTTTTTCCTTTCCCTCATTAGGGTTTTACAGTTTTCTTTATACAAACTTTATGTATATTTTATTATACATATCTAAATATTTGTCTTTTAGGTACTAATGCAAGTAGTGTGTTTTTAATTTGAAATTCTAACTCTTGGTTGCCAGCATATTGGAAAGCAATCGACTTTTGTATAATTACCTTGTATCCTGTAACTTTGCTATAATCACTTATTTGTTTCAGGGTTTTTTTTTTGGTGGGGGTTGCTGTTGACTCCTTGAAATTTTCTATATAGACAACCATGTCATCTGCAAACAGTTTTATTTCTTCCTTCCCAATCTGTATATCTTTTTATATCCCAATCTGTATTTCCTTTTCTTGTCTTACTGCTGTGACTAGAACTTCCAGTACAATGTTGAATAGGAGTGGTGAGAGGGGATACCTTTGCCTTATTTCCTGTCTTAGAAGAAAAACATCTACTTTCTCGCCATTAAGTATGATGTTAGCTGTCGGGTTCAAGTTGAGGAAGTTCCCCTCCTTTCCTTGTTTGCTCACAGTTTTTATCATGAATGGGCGTTGGATTTTATGAAGTACATTTTCTGCACCTACTAAGATGATCATATGATTTTTCTTATTTAACCTGTTGATGTGATGGATTACAGTAATTGATTTTTCTTGTCTTTTTCCCCCGCTTTTTTGTGGAGAATGGGTTCTCCCTGTGTTGCCCAGGCAAGTCTTAACCCGGTCTGAAGCCATCCTCCTGCCTCTGCCTCCCTAAGTGCTGGGATTATAGGCATGAACCACCACACCCAGCTCATTAATTGATTTTTAAATGTTGAACCAGCCTTGCATACCATTGAGTTGGTTGTCATGTATAATGCTTTTTATACATCATTGGATTCAGTTTGCTAATATTTTGTTGAGGATTTTTGCATCTCCATATAGTTTTCTTTCTTGTAACATCTTTGTCTGGTTTCAGTATTGGGGTGATGCTGGTCTCAGAGAATGAGTTAACAGAAAAGTGCTTCTGTTTTCTGGAACAGATTGTAGACAGTTTGTGTAATTTCATCCTTAACTGTTCTGTAGAATTCCTCATTACTTTCCTCAGCAGCCCTAGTATTTCATCCACTTTAAATCCTCTCCACTTTATGTCCTAGATTATAGGAGTTAAGTTTTTTCTCCCTTGCCCTTCCACCCTCACTGCAGCCCCAGTCACACCTGTAAATATAAACTCTTTTTGACCCCTGCCTTCCTGTTAGCTTACCCCCAGGCTGTGAGTTTTATAAAAGCAGAGATCACGTCTCCCTTGTTCACAATGTTATCTACAACACCCAGTGCAGTGCCTAAAACATAGTATATGCCCATTAAATATTACTTGACTTCCTTACCTAATGTCCTTGTTTACAAAGCACTTTAGTATTCATTATCTTTTTTTGATCTGTAACTATGCACATTAAGCTGGGGAAGTAGCAATACCTGATATTTCTCATGAGGAGAGTGCCACTCAGAAAGATCAAATAACTTGTCTTGGTTTATTCAGTTTTGAAATGAGAACCACCAGAATTAATCCAGATCTACTGACTTCAAGTTTTAGGCCTTTTCCTCTGCATCTAACACTAATCAAGGTGTTTCTTGCTTTATCAGATCCCCATTGAAAAAGGAGGGAGCAACAGTTATTTTGATGCACAATAGCTCAGATACAACTGAAAAAATTAGTTTTTCCAAAAGAAGTGGTCACCTGATAAGAGGCTCTTAAAGATCTTCTTGATCTTCACATGTTTATTCAGACTGATGCCTGGTCCCCAATGATACCGTCTTTTTCAGGAATTTTAGGCGATAAGAGAACATTTTAAAGGACCGTATTTATGTTATATACGTTACATTCTATCTTCGCTCTATGGCAAAAGTAATTTTTAGCTTCTGAAAAGCTGTTTATTACTTTCTCACTGAGGCAAGGCAAACAAATGATTTATAGACTCTCCTGTTTAGGGCATCATTCATATTTTAAAGCAGTGCCCAATTAATAAAGATTTTAATTTTAAACACCCACATACACGATACAGTAGGTACCAGAAAGCAATAGGAAAAAAAGTGGTCATTGCGTCTTTTCTAGTGTGCATCTTGAAAAACAAATTTACGTGGGTACCCAAGTATGCTCTTCTTTCATAGTTTACAAACAACTTAAGAGAAACCTCAGCATTTATTCATTGCTGAAGAATCTAGCTGACATCCTTGGAAAATAATTTGAAGAGCTAGTGGGACGGTGCATGCTAGAAGCTTTGAGCTCCCTTTTGCGTTCTATAATTTATATGTGTCCCAGCATGAGGTCATTTTCATGATTTTGCTTTTAAATTATGTATATTACAGTGAAATGTACTGATATAAAAATAGAAATGACCTATAAAGATTTCTTTTTCCCAGAATTTAACCTTTTAAGACCTCTTTGTTCTCCAAACCACACTCGTCATAAACACATGGCAGAGCTATATTGTCATACTGGATCCACATATTATAGTGAATATTATCATATATATTTATAATAAGATAGTGTACCATTTGTTGATATTTGACAAATGTGTACTTATTAAGAACTTGACCAAAAGTATAATTAAGCATTAACAGGGGTCTACTTTCATGCAAAGAAAATTTAAAAAAAAAAAATTGTCCAGAGGGTATATGGCTTCTTGCAGAAACAGAATAAGAGTAAAGTTTAATTAGACTTGTAAGGATTGTTAAGAAAGGGGCTTGGATCATTTACATTTTGTTTTTCAAAAATATTTGAGATGGTCAGAGGGAGATTAAGGTACATTTCCAGTGGAAAGTTTATGGAAGAATAAACATTTTGTGACTGTGCAAAAATACTTAGGAGCATTTGGCTTTTTCAGATAACTTATGTTTTAAAGTAATTTTAAAATATAGAATTATAACAATTATCATTTTTTCTAATTAGGATCCAGTTTATGGGAAAGGAAAACTTGGAGAAATCCAGGGACTTATTCTGGGAATGTTGGACACCTTTAACTATGAACAAGTAAGTAAGCTGCTTGCTATATCTGTCTGTCCTGAGGTAGAAAAAAAAGCTGTTTATTTTCTTTTTTCTTTTGTATCTATACTTTAAAAAAAAAATGCTATCTCTTTACTGGCAGTTAGGTAGAAATTTCTCTTGCCAGGCAGGCTGGCTCACACCTGTGATGCCAGTACTGTGGGAGACTGAGACAGGAGGATTGCTTGAGGCCAGGAGTTTGAGACCAGCCCAGGCAACATAGCAAGACTCTGTCTCTACAAAAAACAAAAAAGCTAGCTGCGCATGGTGGAATGTGCCTGTAATCATAACTACTCAGGACAGTCAGTGGGACCCAGGAGTCGGAGTCTGAAGTGAGCTGTGACCATGCCACCGCACTCCCCAGGCGACAGAGCTAGATCCTGTCCCTAAAAAAAAAAAAAAAATTCTCTTGACCTTAATTTGTGCACACACACAAATTTCAGAATGTAGAAATGCATATAATTCAAATTTAGTTTATTTTTTGATTCATTGGTAATGAAACAAATATCTTTTTCTCCAAATGAAAGTATGAGAAACTCTCTGGAAAAATAATTTCATACAAAACTATACCACATGAAAAGGAAGGGTCACCGTGAATATAGAAAATCGCAAAATAAAATTAAATGAGTCATTTTAAGCATTCTGAAACATATAGTTGTCACTAACGATTGTATTAGTTCATTTTTACGCTGCTGATAAAGACATACCTGAGACTGGGCGGTTTACAAAAGAGAGAGGTTTACAGAACTCACAGTTCCACATGGCCGGGGAGGCCTCACAGTCATGGCGGAAGGTGAAAGGCATGTCTCAGGGGGTGGCAGATAAGAGCTTGTGCAGGGAAACTCCCCCTTATAATACCGTCCAATCTCGTGAGACTTACTTGTTGTCTCAAGAACAACATGGGAAAGACCCGTCCCCATGATTCAGTTACCTCCCACTGGGTCACTCCCACCACACGTGAGAGTTCAAGATGAGATTTGGGTGGGAACACCCCCAAATCATATCACCGTGAATGGTCACTAGTCTTCCCTCACCTCAAAGTTGCCTTTAGCTTTAAGTCTCAGTAAGAGCCAGCGTGGTGTTACGGGCTTTTTTCTCATTGTGCTACAAAGTGACTCATGAAGCCACCTAGGAAAAGTGCCATTTACGTCTGTTGGAGATGATGTCTGCTTTTTCTTTAAGAATCTGAGAGAAGAAAAAGGAAAATCTGGTGACAGCTTTTCTTAGAATGTTGTAAGACTTGCAGTTTGGCTAAGCATAGCCCACTGAAGCTTGATACCCCGCAGGCACAGATTCCAGGTTAGCAGAGGGAAAGTTGAGTGCGAGGCAGAAAACGTTTGCCAGTTTTGGAACTATGGAAGAGGAGAAAAAGATGGTACTGATTGGAAAGAATTAGAATGGACCATAGGAAAACAATGTTTGCATTACAGGTAAAGTTAAAGAGCTAAGCTGTATAGCAAGGAACCCTAACTCTCTTCCCCTGTGGGACTGGGAGAAAAGAACCCGAATACATAGTCAGATGATATATATGAATGTTAAGAATGAGATACAGTACAAAAAGAATGCTTTATAAATATGGAGAGCCTTAAAACGACTTAATGTGATGGCTGTTAAAATGTCTTTATGTGACTTAATGACAGATGTCATGGTCTTGAGTAGATGCAGATGACGCACAAGTACTGATCAGGAAAATGTGTCTCTCTGCCCAAGGAAGGTGAAAGTGGAGTAATGGCCGTTAGCTTTACTAGTGAAAAGATATTTGAAACATTACCGTGAATGCAGTTTCAATAAAAAATCAGGGATCCAGACTTAGCTGTATTCTTTATTACAACACTGAGCCATTCAGAGAGAAGTTATTGTATAAATGTAATAAATAGGTATGAGCTTATCTGGTCATTTGAAAGCTGTCAGTACCGAATTAAGCTGCAGAATGGCAGAGCTCACATTTCTTAGTAGAAAATAGTGACAGACTTGAGAATCTTAATAATGTTTACACTCATTATTAACTGCACACTGCGGTTAGCTGCTTCAATTTGGGAGGCTCTGATGTTTTTTTGTTTCAACAATTTCATCCCTTTATAGTGTGTTCCAATTTTAGTTGTTGGTAGTTGAAAATTAAACAAGTGCCATTCACCATTCCTCTCCTCTGTCTCTTTCGTTGTCTAACCCTTTGCTTGTTTGTTTTTTGTTTTGTTCTTTCGTAGACCCTGCTGGAAACAACAACTAGCCTTCTCAACCAAGATCTCCATTGGTCATTATGTAACCTGAGAGCTTCGGTCACCAGAGGACTGAATCCCAAACAAGATTACTGCTCTATCTGTTTGCAGCAGTACAAGAGACGCCAAGAAATGGCTGATGAAATTATTGTCTTTAGGTAAGAAAGGGAAGGAAATGTTACTTGTATTGTACATGTACATCTGTGGCATTACCAGGCTACAATACACGTGGTTACGCATGATAGGCAAGTTCCTGCCCTCACAGACCTTAAATCTGCACTGGGGTGGAGGCTCGGGTGCCCAGGCAAGACCTAAATACAGAGGAATAAGAGCTGTGGAGAAAAACAAAACATGGGCCAAATGGATGGAAGGATGAGGTGTTCAGGACAAATGCTGTTAAATGAGGAAAAGCGGATCTGAGAAAGTGACCTTTAAGTAGAGAGAGAGGGAGAAGCAGAGGTGCTGAGAGGTGATTGGATTCCACATGTGCTTTAAAGGTAGGGATAACTTGCTGGTGTTTTCGATGTGGAGTCTAAGAGAAAATTGAGTCTTTAGTCTGAGCAATTGGGTAAACATGGTACCATTGTCTAAGATGAGGAGGAACAGGTACAAGGAACTGGGGAAATCAAGAGTTTTGCATTTCATGTGTGAGGTTTGATATGTACTGTCAGACATCAGGTAGGGATGCCAGCTAGACAGATACGTCAGAAATCTGGAGATGTGTTGGGACTGGAAAACTTAGAAGTGTCAGCGTATGATATTTAAGCCACAATGCAGAAAGAGAAGAAGCCTAGTGCAGAGTTAAGGTGTTGGTCTCAGGAGCAAAGGCAGCTCATCTAGAATATATGGATAGAGGTAACATGATGTGGCCTTGGAGCCAAACTTCCTAAGTTCAAATCTTGACTCTGCTACATGCCAGCTGTCTGTGAGACCTTGGACAAGTTATTTAACCTCTTTATATCTTAGTTTCCTCATCTGTAAATAGGATAACAGTACCTACCTCCTGGGGTTTTGTGAGGACTGGATGAGATAATTTATATAAGGCACTCGTAACAGTGCCTGGCATGAGAAGCATTATCTGAGTGTTAGCTCCAGCTCTGCAGGAAGATTGGTAGATTTGATGGTTGGAAGGAGACAGTAGTTCTCATCACACAAAGAGCCCATTCAGGCAAGAAATACTTATTGAGTACTTATTGAGTACCTACTGTATGCCAGCTGCTATTCAAGGGGATAGGATACAGAACGAACAAAACAAAGGATCTGCCCTCATGGAGTTTACATTGTAGTGGCGGCGATAAAACATAAGCCAACAAGTGAAACGCCAGATACTGATAACTACTACAGGGGAAAGTGTTAAAGGAGATACAGAGTGTTTGGTGGCAGGCGGAGGGCAGGTACTTTATGCAGGTTGGCCAGGGAAAGGCTCACTGTTAGGTGACTTATGAACAGACAATCCGTAAAAATATGGTTATTAGTTACATGAATAACAACAAGCTATGGTATATAGGAAAAGGAATGTTGGAGCTACTCATTTATAGAGTAGTCTGAGAAAGCCTCCTGGTTTAAGTGACATTTGAGGAGACCTGCAGGAAGTGGCTGTGCAGCCTCAGAAGAGAGCACCCCAGGCAGAGGACCAGCAAGTGCGGAGACCGTGAGGTGGGAGAGGCGTGGCACTCTTGAGGACCAGGGAGTGAGGAGGCTGGCGCCACCTGAGCAGCCAAGGCACGGGAGATGAGGGAGAGGTCAGAGGAGGAGCAGAAGCCAAATCGTGTGGGAGCTGGGCCAGGTCTAACTCATTTCTATAATAAAAGTTAGACTTGTACTCTGAGATGAGAAGCCATTGGATGGTTTTGAGGAGGGGGCGGTAGTGTGATCTGACCTGTGTCTTGGGATTACTCTGAATGTTGTGTTAAGAAAGAACTAGAGCAATCAAGGGGGAAAGCAGACTATTGTAGTAGGTAGGCTATTGTAGTAGCCCATGTGAGAGATGGTCTAGGTAATAGTCATGGAGTAAGAAGCGGTAGGATTCTGGATATATTTGGAAGGCAGTGGTATTTTAAAGCTATGGAACCTGGAAATAATAACTAAAGGAGCAAAGGTAGTTATAACAGAGTAT